GCCTCAGCCCTCCAAATAGCTGGAACTCCAGGCGCGCGCGCTCCCACACCCGGCTAATTTTTTTGGATATTGTAAAGTTGAGGTCTCACCAAGTTGCCCAGGCGGGCCTCGAACCCGCGGGCTCAGGCAATCCACACACCTCAGCCTCCCAAAGCGCGGGATTACAGGCTGAGCCACCGAGCCCGGCTTGTGGCAGTTCTTAATTCGGCATCGGGAGTGTTGAGTGTGAATACGTGACTTCACTTGAGGACCGCTCCATTCGGTGGCTTTTTTTTTTCTTTTTTTTTTAATATATGTTTTTTATTTTAGAATTGTGGGGTACAATTAAGGGTTAGGTATACAAATATGCATTGTGCAGGTACCCTTGTTGATGAGGTGTGCCGCCCTTTCCCCAGGTATTGACTACCGTTAATCCCACCTCCCTTCCCCTCCCTGCCCCCCCCACAGTTTCCTGCTACTGTCGCTCCTTTTCTTATAGTATTAAGGTAGTTGTTCAAGGTCCACTTATGAGTGAGAATATGTGATACTCAGATCTTTGTTTCTGTGAGAGATCACTCAGTATTATAAACTCGAATTCCACCCAGGTTACTGCGAAATTCTTGATTTTTCTTTTTCTTTGTGTGCAGTCTTTATTTCAGATATTTGTTAAGACACCATTGTTATTACTCAGGACAAGAGTAAAGATCACCTCTTGCAGAAACTTAGGAACTATGTACAGAATTTTACAAACAGAGGCAAGGCTTTGGCTTAAACCTGACTGCTGACCAGAGAATGGAGTTCTGAGTGGACTCAACAAAAGGAAACCAGACAGGAAAAGGAAGGTGCCCGTTTGAACCAAATTTAAGCTACCATCAGGGCATTGTGGTCGTCACAGATCATAGGCTCTGTTTTTAGGTGGTTCGGGTACAGCACAGGATTCCATTTGGCTCCTTGGCTAACTACACCTCGGACTGAGGTGCCATGAGGTCAATGTCACTCAAGTTCCTAGCCAGCCAAACTCCCGCAGCAAAGAGTCCCAAATTGAGTATCAAATTCCTCTGGAAGTCATTCCTATCGGTTGCAAAGCGGTAGACGCCCCGAAGCCAGTCTCCCACATTGTCCGGAGATATGCCGAGCTGTTAGCGCTCATGGTGACCCCCCGGAAGCCATTCTTCGATTTTTTTTTAATGGCTGTGTAATATTCCATTGTGTATCGGTACCACATTTTTTTTATCTTGTTCTCCACTTACACCATCTTGCTGGCTCCTCGGAAAGCCATTCAGTGGTTTTTGTTTAACTTTACCGATAGTAATCGGTGGGATTGTAAACTTTTTCTGGAAAACCGTAGTTTTAGTAAAGAACCTTTTTTCCTTTCCCGAAGGTCTTTTTTGGGCATCTGTGGAGATGGTGAGAAGCAGAGCCGGCAGGTTGAAGCTTCAAAGTAATGGATGGATCCCGAAGATGAGTAAGAGTGGGTGCAAGCAGGACCTGGGTTGTCACCAGTCATGAGAAAGCAGAGCTGGTGCTGTCACGTGCATTCACCCCTACTTTATTCCGAAGTTCAAGTGTGGAGTGTATGTTGACACATAAGTCCACTTAGGGTGAAAAACCTACCTAGAATTCAGAATACAAATAAATAAGTAAACTATGTATATATTTGGAGACAAGGTCTCGCTCTGTTGCGCAGGCTGGTCTCAAACGCTTGGCCTCAAGCAGTCTTCTCACTTTGGCATCCCAAAGTGCTGGGATTACAGGCACCAGCCACCACTCCCAACTGCTAATTATTTAAATAATAAAAACCACGAGGGTCTGTACCCGGGTAATTTGGGGCCACTAGGTGTCACTGTAACCAACATGGATGTCATTGCATGTAGAATTGAAATTGAGACTTGGAAAATTAATTTTGGTTGGTTGGAATTTGGGAGCATTCATTACTGGCTGAGCTGAGGATGATTTAAAGTTATCCCTGTCTGAATTAACATCTTTTGTGAGGAGTTCTGACTCCCTGAGGCTCAGCTTTTTAATACAAACCTTGAGTATAAATACCTGAAGGTTTTTTCTGTTAGAATGAAGCATGTTAATCTTTCTCTTAGATTAAAGCTGTTGGCTGTGGACTTGAAAAAAAATCACATGAAAATCCACCACCTTAAGATGTCAGATGTAAGGATCATCATAATGAAATTTCTGTAATGGTAAGGAGAGTTTTTTTGGTTTTTTTGTTTTTGAGTTGGAGTCTCACTCTGTCGCCCAGACTGGAGTGCAGTGGCCGCTCCCGGCCACCGCAGCCTCGACCTGCTGGGCTCCGGCGATCCTTCCACCTCAGCCTTCCGAGTAGCCGGAGCTACAGGCACGCGCTGCCATGCCCAGCTGATTTTTTTGATTTATTGTAGAGATGAGGTCTCGCCAAGTTGCCCAGGCGGGACTCGAACCTCAGCCTCCCAAAGACACGGGATTACAGGCTGAGCCACCGAGCCCGGCGGTAAGGAGAGTTTTAGTGCTTTATAGACTTGCATAGATCATGGTCCCCTTTAAGTACTGTTAGATTTGGATTGTGATTGTGTGGATAATGGAAGCAGTTTGGAGTTCTTTTTGTTAGGCTCTTTGCCAAGTATTTGTTATAACAAATACTTGCTCTCACGAACAGTATTTGTTATAACTACGCTTTGTGAGGTAAGTTTTCTCCCCATTTTGCTGCTGAGTAAATAAAAGAGAAAGTTCCCTTGCCCAAAGTTAAAGTAGTTACTAAGTTGGATTAGACCAGTGGTTCTCAACCAGGAATGAAGGATGTAACTGACATTGAGTGGATGCTGCTAAATATTCTCTTTTTTTTTTTTTGAGTTGGAGTCTCACTCCATTGCCCATACTGGAGTGCAGTGGCATGCTCCTGGCCACCGCAGCCTCAACCTTCTGGGCTCCGACAATCCTTCCGCCTCAGCCTTTCAAGTAGCTGGAACTACAGGCGTGTGGTACCACGCCCGGCTAGCTGCTAAATATTCTGCAGTGCCCAGGAAACTCTTGGAAACTGTATGTTGGACTAGCTAGAGATCTAGGCTGTAGCCTCAGACTATTTACTTACCAGCCTTGCTTCTTCATTTGTAAAACAGGCTTAGTGATTTTCAAACTTCATTATACATCAAGAACCACCTACAAAGTGTTAAAATATTTGCATTCCTGGGCCTCACCTCCAGCCTTGGAGAAGAATGACTCTGGAGTGGAGCCCAGGAATCGTGTGACCAGTTAAAGAGTGGGTTTGTAGTAACAAGTAGATGATCTGACCTGTTTTTAGCTCCAGGATTTTAATATAGCAAGATTATAGTGCTGGCTATTTTTAAGTAGCTCTTGAGCAGATCTCTAATCCTATCTTGTAGAAAGAAAAGCCACATGCTTGCTCTGCAGGGTAGTTTTTGGTTTTGTTTTTGTTTTGTTTTTTGAGTTGGAGTTTCACTGTTGCCCGGGCTGGAGTGCAGTGGCACCCGCACGGCCACCGCAGCCTTGACCTGCTGGCTCAGGTGATTCTTTCTCTTCAGCCTTCCAAGTAGCTGAAACTACAGGTGTGCACCACCACGCTCAGCTAATTTTTTGATTTATTGTAGAGATGAGGTCTCACCAAATTGCCTGGGATGGTCTCAAACCCTGAGCTCAGGCAATCCTCTCGCCTAGGCCTCCCAAAGTGCTGGGATTATAGGCTTGAGCCACCAAGCCTGGCCTTGCAGGGTAATTTTATACATACAGGTGGATGAGGGAAAGACGTCCTTGCTTCTCTGCAGCAGGTACTGTTTGTTTGGCTGGCCTTCAGCAGATCAGGCTTTTTACTGACACTCTAGAAAGACCCTGAAATGTATGGTCTGTATTTTGCTGTCAGGTTGTGCTAGGTCTGGCACACTGGGCGCATCTAGGTAAATAGTTTGCTCTTTAGGGAAAGCATATTCTAGTAGACAAAATTAAGAGATCTCATGAGGGAAGTGAAGTACAATTTGATAAGAAAAACAGTTTTTCTTCTCTGGGCTAGCTCGTTGGTGGAAGCTGAGTTTGTGATGATGTCAAGTTATCCCTGTCTGAAGGCAAAAAGAAGGGCCTTTCTGTGTGGAACGTGGATGTCTGAAACTCGGTTTCCCACCTTTTTTTTTTTTGAGTTGGAGTCTCGCGCTGTCACCTAGGCTGGAGGGCAATGGAATGCTCGTGGCCACCGCAGCCTCGACCTGCTGGGTTCCGGCGATCCTTCCGCCTCAGCCTTCCAAGCAGCTGGAACTACAGGCACGCGCTACGATGCCTGGCTAATTTTTGATTTATTGTAGAGACAAGGTCTCGCCAAGTTCCCCAGGCAGGTCTCGAACCCGCGGGCCCAGGCAATCGTCTCGCTTCGGCCTCCCTAAATGCTGGGATTACAGGCTGAGCCACCGAGCCCGGTCCCAACTTTTGCCTTATAGAAAACTTAGGCATGATTTTATTTTATTTTTTTATTTTTATTTTTTTTTGAGTTGGAGTCTCACTCTGTTGCCCAGACTGGAGTGCAGTGGCCGCTCCTGGCCACTGCAGCCTCGACCTGCTGGGCATTACAGGCATGCGCTGGAATTACAGGCATGCGCTACCACGCCCGGCTGATTTTTTGATTTATTGTAGAGATGAGGTCTCACCAAATTGCCCAGGCAGGTCTCAAACCCTTGGGCTCAGGCAGTCCACTCACCTCAGCCTCCCAAAGGCGTGGGATTACAGGCTGAGCCGCCGAGCCCGGCTAGGCATGATTTTAAAGAGAGTTGTCTTCTGAATATCATGAGTAGATTTTTTTCCAATTTCTCCTCACCAGGTGCAGTCTCAGCCTCAGTTTCTGGGGCTGGAAAAGGATCCTCTAGCATTTGTGGCAGCTGCCCTGAACCAGAACCTGGCCCCGGGCTCAAAGTGGGATGTCTCCTGTGTATGCTAAGGGAGACATAGGTGTCTGCAGTGTCGGACAGAACTTTGAACTGCTTTGCTTGAGGCAAGTGAAATGATTGCTTTCCTGTTGTTTATAAACTGTTTACCCCTTTCTTGTTCCTAAGAAGTCTTGCAAGCCTATGATGCTTAGTTATCCCTGTCTGAAAACTCTCAACTGAGGGAAGTAACCTCTTCTGAGGCTTGAGGGTTTGGTGCTGCGCTTTTTGGGGGAACGGGGGGGTGTCTATATTTTTCTTCCTTCCCTTTTTTGACCTCATGCTTTTTAAAAGTTCAGGCATTAGGGAATGGAATTGAATGAACCCTCAGGAAATTGTGCATTCCCTGCTGAGAGCCCAGTCTAGTGCATCATCCCCTCTGAAACTTGAAAGCCAAGTGTGGTTGCCCTGTTAAGCTCTAGCTTCTTGATTGATGGCCATGAGGGTACAGGCTCTATGAGGTGGCAGAAAGAAATAGACAAGTAGCCAAGATTTGGTTTATGCTCTTATTATGGAATGAAAGAGTCTTGCCACATATTTCAAGAAAATGAATGTGCTCTTTGAAACAGATGGGAATGTAAAATGTATGCCAGCTGTGGCAGTGAGAATGCTTAATGACCTTGCCTCTGCACCAGTGCCCTGACATTTAGGGGAAAAGGGATACCACGGCACTGGCAGAGCTATTTGGTTTCCAGGCGCTTTGTTAACACGACTGGCCTAGGGCTGCTCCTTGGGCAGCAGAGACTGGCATGTTAGTGAGCAAGAAAGAAGCAAGGTTGTGCTGGGGGCAGGGTGTCTGGCTTTGTTCCCACTTGAATGCCAGGCTTCAAGTGGACACACGTTGCCTTTCTTTTCTGCTGAAATTGGGAGGTGCTTGCAGACTCTTGATACTAAGGCCACGTTTTTGCTTGGTCGTCACAAGCTACATTTGGGGTGAAATTTAATGAGCCGAAAAACTGTTCCCACCAGTTTACAGCCTGCAAGTAGAACAGAGTGAAAGCCTGGTTAGCAAGTGGGAAAGATCAAATTCCTTGGTTACTGTTTGCTTCTAAATGGACTTGCCTATTCACCAGAACTCAAGTAAACCTTAAGGTTTGACTTTAAAATGTTTACATCCAGAGGGAGTTGAATATAAATAGCCCTCGTGGGCATTCTTTTCTGACCTCTTCCCAGAAACTGCTCCCATAGAGTGCAGTCTCCTTAAAACAAGTCATTCGGGAGCCTCACCAGCCTGCATTGAAATTGTTTGATAGTGCCGAATCATGTTGCCTCAGTGCACACAGAATGCCTAATGATGGTTAGAATGAGTGCTCCTAGACTGATTGCCTTTTCTCCTAAATTAGTTGTTAATGTAACTTTCAGCTTTGAGTCACTTAGTTGGCTGTTATTTCAAATTATTCTCCTTTGCTTTTACAGGTTATCTCCCAGTGATGCCAGATGGGATCAGTACAGCCCTGCCTCTGCTTCTAATGTCTATAAAATAACCTTGCAAAAAGGGAGTCATTAAAGTTATTTGGGCTTCATCCTTTTTTTTGAGTTGGAGTCTCACTCTGTCACCCAGACTGGAGTGCAGTGGCACGCTCTCAGCCACCCCAGTGTCAACCTGTTGGGCTCTGGCAATCCTTCCCCCTCAGCCTTCCAAGTAGCCGGAACTACAGGCGTGTGCTACCACACGCAGCCAGTTTTTTGATTTATGGTAGAAACGCGGTCTCACCATGTTGCCCGGGCTGTTCTCCATCCCGAGGGCTCAGGCAGTCCTCTCACTTTAGCCTCCCAAAATGCTGGGATTACAGGCTTGAGCCACTGTGCCAGACTTTTTTGTATGTTTTTATTTTTTTGGAGTAGGAGTCTCGCTCTGTCGCCCAGGCTATAATGCAGTGGCACGATCATGGTCACCACAGCCTCGACCTGCCGGGTACAGATGAACCTTCTACCTCAGCCTTCTGAGTAACTGGAACTACAGGCACAAGCCACCACACCCAACTAATTTTTTTGTTTGTTCTTTGTTGTTGTTTTTTTTGAGTTGGAGTCTGACTGTCACCCAGACTGGAGTGCAGTGGCCGCTCCCGGCCACCGCAGCCTTGACCTGCTGGGCTCCGGCGATCCTTCCGCCTCAGCCTTCCGAGTAGCGGAACTACAGGCGTGCGCTACCACGCCCAGCTGATTTTTGATTTATTGCAGAGATGAGGTCTCACCAAGCTGCCCGGGCGGGTCTCAAACCCGCAGGCTCAGGCAATCCGCTCACCTCAGCCTCCCAAAACACAGGATTACAGGCTGAGCCACCGAGCCTGGCTTTTTTATTTTTTAAATTGTGGAGATGATGTCTCTCCAAGTTGTCCAGACTGGTCTTGAACCCCTGGACTCAGGCAATCCTCTCATCTCTGCCTCCCAGAGTGCTGGGATTATAGGCATGAACCACTGCACCCAGCTAGGGCTTCATCTTTAAAGAAATTCAAGTAACTGAAATAATCCCAGAAAACCACTGGAATTAGTGAAATTAGAGTATAGCTAAGAATATTCAGACCTCCAGTTTGGGTTATCTGGATGTAATCTCAAATTAATAGGACCGCAGCGATTGTATGCGGTCTGACAATTAAGTTTGGGGACTTTGCAATGTGTACTTACATTGGCAGCACTGTACAAACAACTCTGTGAAGTTTTGTGACCTTGGTGTTCATATAGGTATTAATATATCAGTGTATCACCAATGTGTTCATGGTGACGTGTTAAGGTGGTGCCCTTTTGCACTTCCACTGAGTAGTGAGAGCTTGCCTCAATGAGAATTTGCTAGGACAAAGGTGCAGTTGAATTTCGAGTCTCCCCCACGTTCTCTTGACTTAGCGGCCTTGATTTCTACTGAAGGTTTTGTTGTACTACAGAAAACCAGCTACACTGGTGGTGCTTGGGGAAGAAATTGAAAGGGCATGAGCAGAGGTCAGTGTTGCTCGAGCAGCCGTTCGCTGTAATCAGAAGTGTCTGGGCGTTTGTGATTGCAGGAGTCAAATGTGTATTCGTTTTTCATCTTTTGTATAGACTGAGTATTGCGATTTTAATAAGAGTCTTTTTCCTTTCTTAAAATGTGTATGCATTTTTTGGCACCCTGTATATTCGGTTGAGGGAGGCTAAGGGCAAACAAACTTGTCCTTGAAAAACATTTCTTGGTCGGGCTCGGTGGCTCAGCCTGTAATACCAACACTTTGAGAGCCAAGGCAAGTAGATTGTCTGATCCCACAGGTTTGAGGCCAGCCCCAGCAACCTGGTGAGACCTTGTCTCTACAATGAAAAAAACAACCAAAAACAGGCGTGGCAGCACACGCCTATAGGCCTATAGTTCTGGCTAGTTGGATGACTGAGGTGGAAGGATCACTGGAGCCCAGCAGGCCAACGCTGGGGTGGTCGTGAGTGTGCCACTGCACTCCAGCCTGGACCACGAAGTGAGACTCCAACTCCAAAAAAACCCCAAACATTTCTTAATGTATTTTCTCTGAGGTCAGTGTTGGGCTTAAATTTTGAGGCACAAAGTTTTTGTTTTTTGTTTTAGTTGACTCACTAGCATTGTGGATTTTAGATTGACTGAGACCCACAGTAAGAATGCTATTTTATTCTCTGGAGTTTCAGCGAATAATGCCCAACCTGGATTACACAGAATGCCATCTGATGTTTTTTGTTTTTTTAGTTAGCTACTAAATTGATTCTGTGCTCTAATGCATTGACACAAACACTGCTTTAGTACTGACTTCAAATCCAATGAAGGATTGATAAACATTCTTCTGGTATCTTTACAGCGAGGCTTTCAGGGACAGATTGTATTTTGCATAGAATGTCAGTTTCTGAAATATCTCTTAACTCCTATTCTTTTAGTAGCAGGATAGTACTATGGTCTCCCCAAGTAGCTACCCAAATATCCATTCTGTTGATCAGAGGTCTGCATTTCCAGAGTGGCATTTTGTTTCTGGTGGCAGAGTTAATCCACATCCCTCTTGCTAAGGAGGAGTTAATCCACATCCCTCTTGCTGACAGAACCAACCTTTTAAAGCCATAGGACCAGATTAGAGCCCAAATTAACCAACATGGATTGATGCTTTCTTGGGAAGTCTCTTGCTAGCTATACCTGTGAAGATAATGCATTCTGCCTCCAAAGCTACTGGTTAGTACATGAAATACCAGGGTGTGGTGATTTTGCTTGGATGAGAATTCCTTAAAGGCACTTCCAGCAAAAGTCCATAGTATTATGAACCTGCCTATTAGATCTAAGTTGAAGCCACGGTACAAGGATGAGGGTTTGTTACCTGGTAGTATGTTCCTGTTGGGGACAAGGTAGTGATAACCTATCTATTGGGACTTTTCCTTATGGCAGCAGGCAGGCTGCCAAGCCATTGGCCCTTAAGTGCCAGACCCTCCCAGTATATTTGGATTCTGAGCGTGATGTCCACGATAAACACCCTGTATTTTGTGATTTCTCTACCCAGCACAAAAACAGACAAAATAATCATCCATCATTTATGTAGCTACCTGGTCTTTAGTTACACTCTGCCTTTTGTTTTCCCACTTTATCATGGGCAGAAGTCTATCAGGTTCTTAGGAGGTGTCCTGGAGTTGAGTTGCTTTGGCCTATGTGTGGGGCGGTACACACTGGTGAGAAGGTTTGGGCTGGAGTAGGTATGTTTTCTGTTGCCTGCACTGCTTGGTCCTGGTCACCTCAGGCTCTGTGTCGCTCAGTACAAACCCATCAAGGTAGTCTGTTTCCCCTTGGTTACAGTTGGGATGTCTATCTCAGAACCAGAGGAGTTTCCTTGAATAAGCCAAAGACAGGTAGGGTGCCCTGCATTGAGCAAGCCTCGGTGTCCTCTTGGGGAGGAGTTGAAGCCCTTCCAGAAGTCAAAAAGTTAAAAAGGCTGCTGGCCACTTGAAGGTACCAGGGCGGCAGCTCTTCGGGGAACAAAGGGCTTGGTGCTTTGGGGTCAGCGCTGGTACAGCTGGAGGACGCCTGCGTAGTGCAGGTCCCGCCACAGGGCGGCTTCCAGGGACAGATCATGGTTTGCGTAGAATATCAGCGGCATCTTTTTTCGTTCGAAATAGTGGTCCGAAAACTTCCAGTAGTTGTTTGTGATGAATCCATAGGCACTGACCTAGACAAGGAGAGTCCGGGTTTGAGTTTCTACTAAGTGTACACAGAATTTTGTGAAGTAACAGGAATTGAGGAAGGTGGTCCCCTGCCGTGGATATGAAGATAGTGGTGATAGGATGTAGCCTCATTGAACAAGTGTGGAAATACTCAGAGGAAACTCACATTCATTTGAGAGGCAAAGCTGGGTCTGAAACTTGGGGGTGGAGGCATAGCCTGATCCCTGTCCTAATGGGGATTGCAGTCCAGACACCAATGCATTAACCCAGGGAAACAGGCCCGAGAGGTGGAGTGGGGTTGGCTCCCACTCTTCTACTGGCTTTATCACAGCCATGGCCTCTGCTTCCACGTGACCCAGGCAGCATCCCATCAGGAATGTCTCATGATTTCAAAGTTGTGTGTGGGAGGAGGTTGACTAAACCTGCTGTGCCACCCCAGCTCTCGGATATGATCCCATAAAGGGATGTCCCCTCAAGTGCTTTCAGCAGGACAGATTGACAATTTATGCCTTAACTACCATATTGGGTGGCTGCCTTGGAGAAGAGAGTGCTAGAAGGAAGCACTGGCAGGTGGGGGCAGGAACCAAGGCAAGGCTCGCCCAGGACCTGTCCTTGAGGACCCTGGAGAGTGGGTGTGGAAGTGGGCAGCCTGTACTCCTGCAGCTCTTGAATAGAGGCCAAGAGTCCCAGGTCTGAGGGTGGCAGGCTGCAGGAAACACGTCAGGGATCATGCTGGGTTCTGTTTGCACCTGTGCTCTTCTGCTGTGGGCTCCTAAAAGAAGACCTCTTACCTGGTCACAGGTATGCAAGGCTGTCAGCAGCATGAGGGCTCCAGTACTAGGCATATATAGGTCTCCAAAATTTGTATTAATCAACCTTGATTTCAAAAACCTGGAAGCAAAAAGAGGCAAACATTTAGGTCTCACTCGATGATTATATCATTGCACCTTGCAGCTGCCCATTCAAACAGGTTGGAACACTTCAAAACCTGGCCCTTCTACCCCCAGTCAATTCCCTATTTGGGGAAAAAGCCAAGGGACCAATGCAGTGATCTTTTATTGAAATAATTCACCTTGGGCAAAAGACGGGTGGGTGAGAAAGAGGAGCCAGAGGTTGAAATCCTTTCCCCTTCACCCTCTTACTACAATGCCTTGTTTTCGCCCCAGGCTATTTGGGCCTTGGACATAGGTGGCCTGATACTTAGCCAGAGACTTGAGTTTCTCTGTCCGGCGTCTTGACCAAGCAGAAATCGGGTATAATGAATTGGGAGCTCAGGTCCTGTGACTGGACTCACTAACATGATGGGGTACAACCCACCCCACACACAGTGTGACCATGGGCTCTGACCTCACACCTGGATCTCCACCCAAGCTTTGCCAGGCAGATCACCTAACCTCTCTGAGCCTATATTCCTTTGGAGCATGGGGACAAAACGGCTGGGCTTCAGTCGGCCTCCCCACATCCACCTGCTGCCCACCACCTACTCCTGTCATGGAGTGCTAGCCTCTGTGGTCTGCAGCACGGCTTCTCAGCCGTGGCACTACTGACATTTGAGGTCGGAGTGTTTTGTCGCAGGAGTCACGGGCATTGTAGAGGTCAGCATCCCTGGCCTCGACCTACTAGCCACACCGCGTGACACCTAAAACTAACTGCAGATAGGACCCCCAACACTGAGAACGCTGGCAGGAGGGGGTGAGGTCAGGCTGTTTGCTTCCCAGCTCCCCTCACCGGCCTCCTCGGGCTGGCCGCGTTTGGGCCCGAAGGCGCGACACCCTGCTTCTAGTCGTCCCACTGTCGCCATGCGCCTTAAGGCCCCCCCATGCCCCTGTCTCCGAACAGTCGTTGGTCGACACGCTGCGTTACTGAGCCTCCTGTCCAGGCCTGCTGGCCCTGACCTATATAACACGCCTCTCGAGGCGTCAGGTGGAACATAAAGGAAAGGGAGCGAGGCTTCGCGGGCGGCCCCCAGCAGGCGAGCTCGCAACGCTGGGCGGCAGGAGGGAAGGAAGCCGCCCGCCCGGAGCCCGCCCCTCCGCACCTCGCCGTCAGGTAGCCGATGAAGCCCGGATGGAGCAGCTTGAACTTCCCGGCGGAGGCTTCTGGTCCGAAATAGCTGGGCGGCCTAGGACCCGCGGTAGAAGTGGACGGAGCGCCCGGACGCGTCGAAGGGGGCGAGGGAGGAGAGGGTCAGCGAGCCGGGCAGCCGGCGGCGCCCGGGGCGGGGCTGGGAGTAGTAGCGCGAGAAGGGCGTGTAGAAGGTGGCCGGCAGCACGGAGGGGACCACGTGCGGCTTCCCGCCCACCAGCACCTCGAGCGGCAGGGTGTAGGACAGGGAGGACGGGGGCGTGAACAGAGCGGGGGGCGTCGGGAAGGAGCCGCGGGCGCGGGGGTTGTGGGGCGGCGGGGGCAGGAGCGGCAGGTAGAGCGAGTCCGGGGGGCGCCGGGGCTCCGGGGGCCGGGCGCGCGAGGGGCAGGGCGGGCACGGGACCAGCGGCAGGGGAGCTGTGGGCGGCTGGAAGAAGGGGGGCTCCTTCAGGAAGCGCGGCACGTACGGGGCGATGTAGGACGGGATGCCCCGGAGGGGCCCGACGGGCCCGAGGTGGGAGGCCGAGGCGGCCGGGCTGTGGAAGG